GGAAGACAAATGAAAATCCAGAAGTGTCTTGGAAGATAACGGATAACCAGAGGTGTCTTAAAGAACAACGAAATAACCAGAGGTGTCTTGGAGGACAATGGAATAACCAGTGGTGTCTTAGAAGACAACGGAATAACCAGAGGTGTCTTAAAGAACAACGGAATGACCGGAGGTGTCTTGGAAGACAATGTAATAACCAGTGGTGTCTTTGGAGACAACGGAATAAACAGGGGTGTGGTGTCTTGGAAGACAATATAATAACCAGTGGTGTCTTAAAGAACAACAGAATGACCAGTGGTGTCTTAAAGAACAACGGAATAACCGGGGGTGTCTTGGAAGACAACGGAATAACAAGTGGTGTCTTCGGAGACAACAGAATAACCAGAGGTGTCTTAAAGAACAACGGAATAGCCAGAGGTGTCTTTGGAGACAACGATATAATCAGACGTGTCTTGGAAGACAATGGAATAACCAGTGGTGTCTTGGAAGACAACGGAATAACCGGAGGTGTCTTGGAAGACAACGGAATAACAAGTGGTGTCTTCGGAGACAACAGAATAACCAGAGGTGTCTTAAAGAACAACGGAATAGCCAGATGTGTCTTTGGAGACAACGATATAATCAGACGTGTCTTGGAAGACAACGGAATAACCAGTGGTGTCTTTGGAGACAACGGAATAACAAGTGGTGTCTTGGGAGACAACGGAATAACAAGTGGTGTCTTGGAAGACAACTGAATAACCAGTGGTGTCTTTGAAGACAACGGAATAACCAGTGGTGTCTTTGGGGACAACGGAATAATAAGTGGTGTCTTGGTAGACAACGGAATAAACAGTGGTGTCTTGGAAGACAACGGAATAACCAGAGGTGTCTTGGAAGACAACGGAATAACTAGTGGTGTCTTTGGAAACAACGAAATGACCAGTGGTGTCTTGGAAGACAACGGAATAACAAGACGTGTCTTTGGAGAAAACGGAATAATCAGAGGTGTCTTGGGAGACAACAGAATAATCACAATGGTCTTGCGAGAAAACGTAAAAACCAATGGTGTCTTTGCTTGGGAGACGACGGAATGACCAGTGGTGTCTGGGGAGACAACGGAATGACCAGTGGTGTCTGGGGAGACGACGGAATGACCAGTGGTGTCTGGGGAGACAACGGAATGACCAGCGGTGTCTTGGAAGACAACGGAATAACAAGTGGTAACTTGGGAGACAACATAATAACCAGATGTGTCTTTGGAGACAACGGAATAACAAGTGGTGTCTTGGTAGACAACGGAATAACCAGTGGTGTCTTGGAAGACAACGGAATAACCAGTGGTGTCTTTGGAAACAACGAAATGACCAGTGGTGTCTTGGAAGACAACGGAATAACAAGACGTGTCTTTGGAGAAAACGGAATATTCAGAGGTGTCTTGGGAGACAACAGAATAATCACAAGTGTCTTGCGAGAAAACGTAAAAACCAATGTTGTCTTTGCTTGGGAGACGACGGAATGACCAGTGGTGTCTGGGGAGACAACGGAATGACCAATGGTGCCTTGTTGAACCCAGAACTGGGATACAACCGGTTTACCAGGGATGACTTTAGGACATCTGGTTTATACGGCTTACTTTGGAGACATCTGTAAAACCAGAGCTAATAAGTAAGTATGTGAGTTTTGTTCAGTATAGTGGACAGGCATGGAGAACCTGTATAATACAAATTCCGTCTGTTTACACCGTAACAAAACGTGTTTTTTTTAGTATATACTTTTACCAAATGATTTGAAGCCAAGTAACAGACATGGTGCATTTAAATGTGAAATTTCACTGAAAAATGGATACATTTAGAGAAAAATTGTGACATATGTCATGAGTGACTGAGGATGACGTGCATGGATTTCTCACACACTTTAGGTACATCAGGTAAGTCTTCCTCACAAAATGGCTGATACGATTCTGCTGGTATTTTATGTACGTAGACTGAGGTGAAATTCGGTAACGTTACAAGAAGAGTCGAATAGACTGAGACATAGTTTGGCGGCATGAAAATTAGGACTTTAGCCAAATAAAATGACTAAGGGCGTATAATGTAACGGCAATAGCACTGATCGTATACAAGCTGCAAAAGATAATGTTGGATGATAAGTTGTGAAACTGAACAGATAAATAGTTTCTAGAAAAGAACGTAAAAAGGATCGAATTGATTGGATTCATAAGATGATGAATGAAAAGAAAGAGAAGACTTCCGATACTTAGTGTACAAGTATGAACTACTGTATTACCAAAAGGGCGAAAACGTGGTTTTGTTTGGTTTGTATGTGTTTAACGTCCTGTTAACACCTATGATCATTTAAGGACGTGCCAGGTTTTAGTGGTGGAGGAAAGCCGGAATTCCCGATGAAAAACCACCGACCTACGGCCAGTACCTGGCGACTGCCCCACGTATGCCTCGAAACCGCGACCCAGTGGAGGAAGGCTAGTGGTAGCAGATGGTCAGACGTCATAACTACGAAAGCGTGGGGCCAAACTCTAAGCGTAGACCATGAACACAAAAAAGCATTGCTAAAGATAAAAGATATATACATGTAAATTTTGGGAACCGATATGAAAGAGTCGGCGGCGACAAAAAATAAAGGTAAACATACAGCATAGTACAGTGTATTGTTGATTATATCATATGCTGTGCTTCCGATCTTTTCAAATACATGGTTGACGTTGATGTTTTAGATTCAAGTTCTCTTTTCTCTGACGCACATTGTCCAATTTTGATCAGCATACGTGGTGGTAAACCTGTCGGTGATACTAGTGATAATTATCTATTATCATATTTACTTCAGGGCTTGTCGCGAGAACAGATCTACTCGAGATTTTAACCACGAGTGAGCATTGGGGAAATATTTGAACGACTAACTATGAAACCATTGTGTGATAAACTGTTAACCATATACGGCACGTTCCAATTAATTTGTAACAGTATCTTAGAGATTATCTGCATTTACATTTGGAAGCAAAGTCTAGTTAGCGTGGAGTTATGCTACTAGTTGTTAAAAAACAATCGTTCTTGTTGCTCTATGTGCGCATTTCAGCTTGAAAAGGGATGTTGCTTTCCTCAAAATATTTTTAAGGGAATTTGTTTTTTTTAACAAAAGGCTTATTTCTCTTTTTGCAGCGCTTAATTGAAAAAATGGTGTTTCGTCTTAGAAAATCAACGTCACCTGAAACGAGCAGACATTCTAATTTGAGAAAAACCCTATTCCCAAATGGGAATTCCTTTCCCGAGTGTCGTTCGTTTTATCTAGTTTATTCTCAACTACTCCATTATAATCGGTCTATCATGCTGCCGCTATGTGGTAGATGCATAAAGTTACATACAAAAATGTACAGTTGATACTGCAGTTTATATATAAATAATTGAAACATGTGACAATACAAAATACAAGTACTACTTTAACTAATTTGGTCAAGTTTGGAAGAATGATGCATACAATTCATCGAAATATAGACCTGTCAAATAATCTTTAAAAGAAGAGAAAAAAACGATTAGGAGAAATAGATGGATTTTCAACGTTCAAAATAAGGAATATTTATATAAATTGGGAATTTGGAATGAATACAACTTCCAACGTGAATATAAATTTATGTCTGAATATCGGAAAACAGTTAAAAATAAATATTGATATATGAGACGTTATTTGATAAAATTTATAGAAATGATGAACTTTTAAAATGTATGTACATTGGATAAGGTACATGTCATTATTAATATCTTTTCTAATGAAAAAAATCAAAAAAATCCTCGATTACATAAATCTTTATGAAGATTACAAACCGTCCCCGGAAATATTTTAGCCGGATTCGTATGGCTATATCAGCACCAATCATCATCTCATCGTAATATGACTCATACTCGATCCATAGCATCAGCGCCAATTGGGAAGGTCCGTTTTTGCATGACATTCCATGAACAACTATAATAATATGGAATCGATCATTCCGTAAAGTCTAGAAACACAATATCGCATTGCAGGTAAAACAAGGTTGAATAAAGAACTAACACGTTGGTGTTTCAAACAAATGAAAGTAGTAATCGCGTTTGTTTTAGATTCAAAATATACTGAAGAATATTAGAAAAGTTACAAAAAAAATTCCTATCAGTATATATACATTGTATATATCGTCGCAGATTATTTTGATTGATCTAAAAACGGTCATGTCATGAATTAAATGAAAAATAATTAATATGCTACTTCAATATTCATATAAATGGATGTAGACGGGTTGCTGGCTTCACGAATACTCGAAACTGGGAATTCTCTTCTTAAACTATGTATCCCCCCTCCCCCGCCCTCCCATCATCCCCATGTAAAAAAAATACCCTATCTGTACCCAATTCTGATATTTGTCAATTCATGAACATCCCTGTGTACCTTTCCAGTGCGCCTTCAACTATAGCTAATTAACGATACATGTAGCTATCCTCTTCCTAAAGGATAGTATACAAGTCTCGTAGTCTGGAACTCTTTTTGGAAAGGAGGCGCATGTCACATTAACGTACCATGCATCTTCATGTGATCAAATTAACACAATATTTTTGCTACATTTGTCTTAATAAGACACAACGTGGAAGTGTCATGCAGCAACATACAAATTTAGAAAAGATTCCAATCGACGTTTCCGCTATCTGTCTTACCTACAGTGAGATGGCAGCAACGTGTCTAACCTATGATAGCTGTTATAGATAAACACAACGTCTGTGGAATTATCTGTTAATAGTACAGTGTGAATTCTACAATGTACGCCATGAGGACATCTACTACACATGGAAGCAAGGACCGTATCCAATTTTCTTATTGCTTTTTTCTGTTATTTCTACACAAAAAAACCTACCGAAATAATTGTCCCAAGTGTTTCAGCGACATACTCCTTCTCGCTGATAGCAACAGTAACGTGTGCACATCAAATGTAATATAAATGTAATATGTGTGTAAAATACTATATTAATAGTGTCATTATACACGTATACACGCTAGTGTGTTTGATAGATATAACGCAGGCGTCACAAATATAAACCCCGTGACTGTAATAAGAAGATCAAACAGATTGTTCCGATTCGAGTCAATACCAGATTAATAATTTGCTGATGTATATATATAGTAGCTTATGTAGATAGCGGGTCTGTCACATTTGTACTGGCCGTGTTGTCAAATGGACGTACATGACTTGTACTAATGTTTTAATAGCTTGAAACAATTATCGACCACTTCACTCCTCTATCATTCATCCGACTCTCGTCCCAGTCCATCCAGCATCAGCAACTGCGCGTGTGTACGACACTAAGGCCGCGCGAACAGCAGCTAGCTCCGTACGATAGGCCTGATCGCAACATGGAGAATTACGAGCCCGGTATACTACTGTTCGGCTGACGCTCGCATGCCGAGGATATAAGAGCACAGGAGTTACAATACCCCGGGACCCGGGCAAAATGGGGGACCAAACCATTATAAAGTGATGTTGTGACAAAAACACACCTATACAGGACAAATCTACATCGTGCCTTGTGTTATATATGTATTTTAAAAGTGATATAGTGCAGAAAAAATGGAGTTCAATACATTGACAGTTAGACGGGTATGTCTAGTTATCGTTATACTAGCATGCCAACTATATTTTGTGGTACCTGAAGCAGAGAAGCACAGCTTCATCTTAAATGCAGGTAAGTCTTAATTTAGATATACCCCATAAATAATTTACCTGTGTGTTTTCCGACAGGTAAGTAATTTAAACATATAATCTATATGTGATTCTGTAGCACGTGTTGCACATCGATTTGTAATTATGTGGTCTTGGTGGGTTTTTTTTGTTTTTTTTTGATTTTATAGTATTATATTTCAAGCCCTTAAAAGTAAGACAGGTAATAAGAATTCTACTATGAGTGTACAATATTCATTTATTTATTAAATTTAATACGTACCGCGTATAGAGGTACATGTAAAACCAATTTAACAATCCGGTATATATCCCCATATGTTTGTAATGATCCGGAGATGACAGCCCATTAACCTGTACCTTACATATATATAGCAGAGGGAGGCGACGGATCCTATGAAATATTTAACGCTTTCTCATTGTCGGATCTCGGATGTTATGATGTGGTGATTCTGCATCAATGTGTCAGTACGTGTGTTTGATGTCATGCTGCTGATCGTTCCGACAGCACACGATGTACAATGTATAAGCGTCTAAACAAACCAAGCTCAGATATCTATATCAGGGAAATACACAGAGGAGGGAAACAGCTTAATGACATATGAAAATCTTTCCGTTATAACACAGTAACGTTAAATAGATCAAGATGTTTTTTTAATTGAACACCACTACTGCTATATGCTGTTGTATAAGGGAACATGTACAGGTATGTAACGTGGATTTCTGAAGTTCCAATTATTCAAATATGTATAGATAAAACATAAGAGTTTGAAATACAAGTTATCTACACATTTACAAAATATGAATCCTTGAATACAGGTTTTAAATACTTTAAAGGTTAAATATATAATCATGAGTTACATAGTTTATATACATTCACAGGTAAGACAGGTTGTGTACACATTTACAGGTAATCTCTATCATCCTGAAATGCAAATCATCCACATATTTACAGGTGTAAAACAGGCCACCATTGAATGCAAATTAAAAGCATGCCATCCTGAGTTCAAGCGTTCTACAGGTAAACATTTACAGGTAGACGGTGATACTGCAGGGAACATATCATCTACACATTGCCTTTTGTCGGGTACAACTTGCGCACGTTTCACATTGCTGTATGGTTCATGCACAGGTATCAAATTGAATAGTTTTACTTTCAATTATGTATGAAGATCGACAAAATCACTCGCACAAATAATGCACAAAGGGGAGACAACTCCGTATTATACATTGTATGATTAACCAACAAAAAATGAGATAACACTCGCAGGCGGCTGGCCTACATTACAAACAGCACTGATGTTAATGACGCATGCAAATTCAAAAGGGATGGTCATAATTGATACAAACGCACAAAAATATGATGGAAGTCAGTCGCAAAACAAACCCACTCAATCGGAGACAATGCTGTTTATAAATTACAAACAAACACAAATGTTGCTCACAGTAGTACCATATGATCCCAATTGGAGACCAACAACAGTTAAAAAAGCCAAGAGGAGACAACTCAGTTATAGCATAAACACGAAGGGAGATAACTCGGTCACAACTGATACTTAATCATTAAGGGGTGACGATTCCAGATTAAAATGATTAACAACACAAAGGGGAGACAATAAGGTGGATAATACAAGTTGGAGTTATATGAATACAGTAAATAAGCCAAAAAGCTGATTCACAGACACAACTAGAGGGAGACAAGCAGGCAGACTTATTAACCTCCATGTATAGGGTCGGACCTACAGGCGACTGTAAACCAGCACAGTTACCTACAATGTATGCAGACCAACGTCTAAACTGCTTCATTCATTAATCTGGGGTCGGGTTTCATAACCGGCTTGTGGTCCAGAACGTTGTTTACATGTAACATGTACCTGTACCTCATACAGTGTACGTGCATTACGGTAATGGTGTTAAGAGATAACGTATAACTATGTGTGCTCCTCCTCATTAAGTTGGCACCTGTTATAAATAAAGCTATAGGACATTAGGACCAGATCATCAGCTCTCAAGTAGAAACAGGGACCTGAAAAGCCATGAGTTACGTACTTATTCACAAGACTCAAGTGCTCTTATCTTAAATAGTTCAATTGCCTGTTCCTTTGCCCATTTATCTGGGGGGGGGGGGGGGGGGGGGGAAGGTTTTTTTTTGTGAGTTGAACATGTTTGTAAGACAAATTGAATATCAGTGAAGTTTTCGTTAAATTCATACATTTTCATTGACTTTTTTAACACCACAATACTATTTAAACAGATTCAGTAAAAAAACAATTAAGTATTTTTTTTACGGTGTTTACTGTTGAAAAGTTTGCGTTGGGGTTTGCAATGCTTTAGAAAACTTTCCTGGTTGTTACGCATTCTCTACCCCAAAAATACTTCGTCTTCTTTGATGATCTAACCAATCAAACTGTGGCAGTTCTAATGGCGCTACTTAAACATATTACATTTATAACACAGCTAGACATATTTCCAACATATTATAACTCGTATTTTATCAGATCTGATAAATGCTGATGATGTTGGTGCCTGCTATCTGCAGCCCCTATTATATGTAAGAATTTGTTCTTCCGCGTGTAAAATTTATCGCTGGGCACAGCAGGAAGATTTAACCCCAGTATCGTCTGCTTATTTCTCTGAGCCCTCAGAAAGAGGTTCTTGGGGGCAAGATGCTCAATCATACCTAACAGATAATTGTCAGAGATTTTTTTACAAAAAATATCCGAAGATATTTGTGCATATATATACATCTCAAACAGGTGTCAAGCTGAACGTTGTATACAGTGTCAGAGCACTTATTTCTCTGGAGACTACGTGTCTTATTGTGGGTGTTGAATATAAATTTTGGAACCTTGATGCTCCAAACATCCTTCTTGTATTCGTATATTCGGTGTTTTGTAATGACAAGATTTTCGGTGGAAAACTATAAATCTTTTGGAATTTCTTAGACTCGCATTGTTTTATTGGAAGTGGACCTTTATTGTGGAGGTGTTCTACGAAGCAGCAATCCGAATCTATATACATCTATCGTCATGGCCTGGTGTTAATCTAAAGGGAATGTTAGAATGGCACTCTCCAGAGACACGGTTATAATAAAAACATTTCCGAAATAGAAGTAATGATTTCTGACGTCTCTAGCATTTCATTTGTCATCAAGTATTGCTTTGAAATAAAGTTATAGGTTTCTGTTTATCAGATATATTTCGAGATCTTTATATTTTTTAAATTATTCCGAGAGCACATTCGGTATCGAAATGAAATATTCTCCTGAAAATGTATGTATATCCATTTAATTGAGGAAACTACAAGGTTAAACGTTCTATTCATAATTTATAACTCCTCGGGAATAAGTAGTACCGCGGAAAAAAGAACCCGCAAAAATACAGTCATCCACAGTAAACGGATCATCGTTTCGGGTGTAGTGGTAAGTGAATTTCCTCTTGAAAACATCGACCAGATAACGGCCGAAACAGTGGAACAGTTTTGCAAAGGATGTTCATATAGGAAAACGGAATGTCGAGAATCCGGGCAGTTTGATTTCAAGAACGACGAATTATCCCGGATCATTGGGAGAGGGAATCCAAAAATCTTGCATATGCATTCGAAGAGTGCTTTCAAATGCGTCTATTTTCAGACGACGGTGTCTGAATTTTAAAATATCACCGATAGTGTTATATGTCTTGATAACCAAGGTTCCGAATAATCAGGAATCATTTATATCGTTTTCGATCCAAATACACGAGATTCGGTAATTGTAAAATTGAGATATTTACACATATTACTAATTATCAATTTTTGGTTATACTGTTCTGTGTCCGGAATTACAAACGGCAGCAAAAGTGTTATGTGACCGTTCCGATTAACGATGTTCAGCAATTAAGTTGTTTGTCGAAATTAATAAGAAACAAAGAACAGTTATAGTAATTAGTGTCTGTTTCAACGAAGTTCAGTGATAGTGTTATGTGTTTGGATTAACGAATACAAGTTATATTATTGTGTTTCTGATTTAAAGAGGTTCATAAGTAATAATGGTGTATGTCCTGTTTATAGAGGTTAAGTTATAATGTTCTGTGTCCGGATTAATGGGGTTCAGTAATGGTGCTGTCTGTCCGAATTAATGAAATGATATAGTTTTATGTTCGGATAAACCTTTTAATATTTGGATAACCATTTTTAAATTCCGATTAACATTTGTAAGCATTGATATTTTTGGCGTTCGGATTAACCAAAGTTAAGCAATAATGTTGTCCGTCCGGATTAACGGGAATGAGCAGTAGTGATCTATTTCCGAATAAGTGATAATGCTCTTTGTGATTAGATGATCAGCAATAATTCTCGATGTACGGATTGACGAGAATCAGCTATAATGTTTTATACCCGGATCGACGAGAATCAGCAATGTTGACCTGAGTCCGGATTGACAAAAATCATCAGTAATTATATATGTCCGGATTGACGGAATCAGTAATAATGCTCTATGTCCGGATTGACGAGGATAAACAATAGTTATTCACATCCGGATAGATCTTTATGTCCAGATTGACGAGCATCAGTAATAATGCTATATGTAGTACTCACGAGGGTCAGCAATGTTAATCTCTGTCGGATTGGACGAGGACCATCAATGTAAATCTCTGTCCGGATTGACGAGAATTATCCATGTTGATCTCTGTCCGGATTGACGAGAATCATCAATGATGATCTATGTCCGGATTGACGAGGATCATCAATGATGATCTCTGTCCGGATTGACGAGGACCATCAGTGCTGATCTATGTCCGGATTGACGAGAATTATCCATGTTGATCTCTGTCCGGATTGACGAGAATCATCAATGATGATCTATGTCCGGATTGACGAGGACCATCAATGATTATCTATGTCCGGATTGACGAGGATCATCAATGTTGATCTCTGTCCGGATTGACGAGAATTATCCATGTTGATCTCTGTCCGGATTGACGAGGATCATCAATGATGATCTAGGTCCGGATTTTGTGTTGGAATTAA